GCTCAAAATGTGTAAAATATTGAAAATGGGCCAAAAGAAGGACCGAGAGAAGGAAGGGAAGGACCGAGAGAGGGCAAGGAACTGAGAGGAGAGAAAGAAGACCGAGAGGAGAAGAGAATGACCGAGAGGATAAGGGAAGGACCGAGAGGATAAGGGAACCGAGAGTGAGGTTTGGCCCGAGAGACCTCGCCCCATTCCAGTTTCGCCCCGAGAGGCTTCGCCTCTTCCTAGATTCGGTTCGAGAGGCTTCCAGGTCTCGGTTTCGGTCTCGGCTACATAGGTTTTCGGCTGCTCCGGGCTTCGGCTTCTTAGGGTTTCGGTTCCATGAGAGGTTTTGGTTCCTTGAGAGGGGTTTCGGCTCCTCAAGTCCGTTTTTCTCGTTTTTACCCCGTTTTAAGCTGTTTTTGACCCGGTTAAGGGTCGGGATGGCACGAAAGACTATAAAAAGTTTAAGGAACTTTTGAGAGAGATTTAGGAGAGATTTGTGAGAGATTTCACATTCTTTGAGAGATTTCTTATACAAAGAGAGAGTTGGGAGAGATTTCACATTCTTGGAGAGATTTCTCATACAAAGAGAGTTTTGGGAGATATTTCACATACTTAGAGAGATTTCACATTATTGGAGAGATTTCTCATACAAAGAGAGATTTGGGAGAGATTTCACATTCTTGGAGAGATTTCTCATACAAAGAGAGTTTTGGGAGAGATTTCACATTCTTGGAGATATTTCTCATACAAAGAGAGATTTGGGAGAGATTTCACATTCTCGGAGAGATTTCACATACAAAGAGAGTTTTGGGAGAGATTTCACATTCTTGGAGAGATTTCTCATACAAAGTGAGAGATAGAGTGAAAACGATTGAGAGAGGTTTCGTGTGTGGCATTTGTGAGTGTCCGGCTTCGCCACGCAAAGTCCGTAACCCTGTTAAGCCTTGTTTAAGGATCTTACACACTCCCGATGCGTATGCAACATTGTTTTATCGGTTTGGCTCTCCATGTACCAAAGTTTTAAGTTAAGGAGATCTAGATGTTCGCACTTTTTGATTTATGATCTCTCATTAGAATAGCGAGTTTTTTAGTATTTACCTAACATAAACTCTAGTACCCACGTGCAAAATGAGTCGAACGGTTTGACTTGTTTACTTCGGTTGACTTTGACTTGACCGGAAATTGACGGTTGTCACATTATGTGTATGGTATCTGGTAGTTTGGGGAAACTCACTAAGCTTTGTGCTTACAGTTCTTAGTTTTGGTTTTAGGTATTTCCGCTAGCAAGGGGAATAACTCAGAATGACTGCAAGGCACACACCACAACTTTTAGCCTGGGATGATTTACTCTGATGTTTTGTCACATGATTTTGATATATTGATAGTTATGGTTTTTATTCGATGAATGACAATTATGGTTGAGATACACGACTTATGATTTTATTCGATGAATGAAAATTATGGTTTTTATTTATATTATAAAACGGAACTTTTGGATCGTATTTTTGGGAAGTTTCAAATGACTATTTTTGTAAACAATGATGATGAATGGTTGGTTTCAAAAATTTTAAATTATTGTGATTTTTGAGTGTTACAAGAATCAAAGGGTTTTAATGATTGTCGTGTTTCAGTTAATCTACCTTGTGATGATCATAACTTTCTTGGAAAAACAGGTGTTTTGGTAGGCTATTAGTTTCATCAACGAATAGGAGATGGAGAAGACAAGGATAGTCAACATCTTTGTAATATTTGATGGTTTTGGCAAGTCTAACAAATAGGGAAATAGCTAATATATATATATATAAGGATAAAGTGAATATACCTAACAACCTTATATAAGCTTAGGTACCTAACTCCATAATACTACATCGGTTTGTATCATATTTACATTGTAATTGCCTAAGGTTTTTTAACTTCAACCCCATAACTTGATTACTTCCAAAATATTTGGACTTTCAACAATATCTTTCTTTTACATCATGTCTTTCTATCGAATACCAACCGCTACAAATGAAAGGATGTAGGAGAAATATAATGATGAATTTCCAAAATATTTTGAAGTAAATCAAGTTTAGGGATGAAGTTTAAGAACCTTGGATGATTGCAATGAAAATTTAATGCAAAATGACGTAGTTTGATGAGGTTAGGTATCTGAGCTTATATAAGGTTGTTAGGTATATTCACTTTACCATATATATATATATATATATATATATATATATATATATATATATATATATATATATATATATATATATATATATATATATATATATATATATATATATGAAGGAAAACAAAGAAATTGTAAATATAAAATTAATTGGCCAGCATAAGGAGACATTCTAACGCAACCCAGATGGGCTTAGTAGACATTTATCGTATTTGTAAGAGAAATCTCCAGAAAAGTCCTAAAAGTTTACCCTAATTTACGAAAAAATCCCAAACTAAATTTTGTTTACGAAAAAGCATGAATTACCGGTAAAAATGGCAATTTAACCCCTTTTTTCCGGTTTACTGGTTACTTATCTGTTTCACTAAAGTCGCATTATTTTACCCTAATTTGCAAATAAGTCCCAAAATAAAATTTACTGATGATTTGGCCCTTTTCACTATGTAACATACATTTTACCGGTTTCATTGCTAACCCGGATGCCTAGTTATTAAATGAGATGATGAGATGAATATGTTGATTTTATAATGCTATGTTTAGCATAAAATTTGATATCCTGATATATTGTATATCTTTTTGGAAAAAAAATGCATCCAACGAAGACTACAATAATTACATAAACTAACAACAATTGCATTATTTTGGATGTTTATAAGAAATATCAAATTCATAATCTAATCTTATGTAACCCAATATATCCATCTCATCAGACATCAACTCATTTTCTGGCCATTTTTCTTAGAAACACACATTTTATTGGTTTTATTGCTGACGTAGATACATAGTCATAAATGAGCTGATGAGATGTGTATCAAGTTTTATAGTAATTGTGACATTATATAACCCCTTGTACTCATCTTATCAACTAATTTAATAACTAGGTGTCTAATTCAGCAATGAAACCAATAAAATATATGTTCAATGAAGAAAATGGTCAAATCATCAGTAAATTTTATTTTGGGACTTATTCACAAATTATGGTAAAATAATGGGACTTTAGTGAAACATGTAAGTAATAAAACCGGTAACCAGAAAAAATGGGTCGAATCGCCATTTTTACCGGTAATTCATGCTTTTTCATAAACAAATTTTAGTTTGATATTTTCGTAAATTAGGGCAAAATTTTAGGACTTTTCTTGAGATTTCCCTATCTGTAAATCCCAAGATCCTTCGTACCTGAAAACCCTTAACTACATAATATACATCTAGGCCAATGTTTAGCTTGTTGATCTATAAGGAGAAGGAATGTGAAATGGTGTGGAGATGGGTAATGATAAAAAACACTATTTGTTACATGACAAATTTTTCTGATAGGAAAGCATAATCACTATGTATGGTTAACCCGTCACAAATGGTACACTGATAGAACACTCTTTTATATATGTTCTTGTTGATGAAGGTGTATCTTTGTGTTTCTTATAACCTTATTATATATGGACAAAGTTGAATTTGTGTTTAAATCTCAATTTAAATCTTGTTTTAATGGCATATGAAGTTGCTCTGTTAAATTAGCTAGTTATTTTAATCTTCAACTTGTATGGTTAATTTTGGCATGTAATATTTAATTATTGCAAATTTAATCTTTTGAGTAAATATCGAAATTATGGTTGGAGTAACTATTTAAAACTATTGGCAGAAGATTGTGCAAATACTCGCAGTAATGCTAGCATAATATTTAATAAAATCATCCCATCAAGAGTTATATTCTTATCATAATAACCTTAAATTTAAATGATAGCAATATATGTTCATTTATGAAGTGCTCCCAAGTTATCTAACACACCTCTAAATATTCAGAAATCAGAGAGTTTAAAAGACTACATGCAAAAGTAGACGCACTACTCTTAATTATTCGAAATCGTATACATTTTAGATTACAGAAAAAATATTATACAATTTGCAAATGTATTCGATTTCCATTTCAATATAATAAACAATAAAGAAAATAAATGGTAAACTAGTGTGATTAAGTTATTAATAAATAGATATTTGACTTACAAGGGATGAGCAGAGCAAAACGATTGCAAAAATGGATACGCTCACATCAGATCATAGGGATGAGCTAAACTATTGTCAAAAAGAAAACGCTCACAACAGATGTGATCAAATGCAAGTTTACACTCAAGGCATTTAAAGATCATTTTATATTGTACTCGCTCATGACATATACAACAGTAGCCATCCAACACAATACCTTGAGCAAATGAGAGAGGGTGTGGGTGACTATCAGTCTTATAAATGCCTCCAAACTTTATATTCACGAAAACATGAGTACTTCTCTTAGACCTGTTATAGGCCTCTGTCTCGCATTGAAGAATTAACGGAGCACAATTAGTATGTACAGACAATGCACAATCTTTACAATGATAGAAAGATGCATGGGGGTTCAAATCCTCCTCACAAATTTCACAGAAGTATTCACTCTTGTGGTTCTCAATCGGGAGGTAACTTAGCTTCATGGGATGGTTCTTGTCATACTTGTGCCTGATTGTCTCGGCTAATAACAAAGCACAATCGGGATGTATATACATATTGCATGTGTTGCAATGGAATGAATGGTGACCTTTAGTAGGATATTTAAGACATATAAGACAAGAAGTATACCCATCTTCTACTTGAACTATTGAAAGAAGGTGATTTGGGTGAGCTTTGTGTGTGATTTCTCTAGGTATAATCCCACAAGTAACATCAACAAAATATTCGCATTTGAAACAGCCATACGCAAATCCATTGCAAAGCAGGTCACAAAAGTTACACCTGAACAAACCGAAAAGGCAACCAGGGATATTTGAGCAGATGAAATGAAGGGTATGTTGTGGGTGGCCTGGGTGGTTTTCTATTATTGGGGGGAGTAGTGGAGAGCAAATTTATTGCAAACCCCGTGAATCTGAATCTGAATCTCATCATCATTAGCATTAGCATTAGCATTAGCATTAGCACAAATGTAAAAAGGCATGGTGGACATGATTGGTCTGAGACATCCATTGCATAACAGTTGGGTCTTTTTCATCGGGTCGTGACAAATTGATGATGAAAGATTAAACTTTGAGGAGGTTTTGCCTTTGGTATCAATTTGTGTCTCACCATCAACTAGAATCAGAGGGTGTTGATGACTGTCATGTGTTAGGTGATCATTCACCTTAATCTTATGATGACGATGATCAGTACTTGATTGTTGGAAAAACAAATAGTGTTTTGGTAGGCTGTATGTTTCATCGGGGAACGGGAGATGGAGAAGACCAGGATGGTCAACATCTTCATAATTTTTAATGGTTTTCTCAAAGCCTGGTCATAAATGGGAATTAGCAGGTATATATATCATTCAAAACAATTTAATTATTAGATGTAATTGATTAAGGAAAGCAAAGCAAAAGGATTGTAAAGGTAAAAATGATTTAATTACCAGCAGGAGGCGGCAAACTAATTGCACAATCCAGATGGACATAGTACAGACATTTATCGCATTTGTAAATCCAATGATCCTCCTTACCTACAAAATCATGTCTACACACTCTGCATCTAGGATCATGTTTAGCTTTTGATCTATCTGTGGGAATGAATATGCAATGGTGAGTGCATGAGGATGATAAAAAGCATCATGTGTTCTTTCTTGGATTAGCAAACTTTCTGGTAGGAAAGCACATTTACTGTGTATGGCGAAGTTAGTACAAATGGTACATTGATAGAAGATGCCTTTATGTTCCTTCCCACAAGCACTACACTCACATGAAATTGGCTTAAGGATAGCGGACATTAGCAGGTGAGGGTGGCAAGGATGATGGATGACATTTTTTCCTACTTCTAACGCACACTTGAGATCAATGCAGAAATAACATTTATTACATCGGTAAAACAGTGCTCCAGGTTCGTGCTCTCTCTTACAAAGTTTGCATATCAAATCATAATATGCATATCTATATAAATATGAAAATGAATTTGAATATGGATACAGGTAAAGAGTATGTTGTGGGTGTGATGCGTGGTCTAACCTTATGGGGAGCTCAGCACAAAATTTGTGAAGTGAGAAGACCTTCTTATCATCACATGATGATGAACAACATGTGTAGTAATACCTGTGGTACACATGGATTTCTTCCTCACACCTTCTACATGTGACACCATGAAAGCCATCTTTCATAATGGGATAACCATCCTCATCTTCTTCTTCTTCCTCTTCTTCATATTGTAGCTGCAAATCAATGAGTTTTAACGGATGTTTATGTTCAGGTACTTCAAGTACTGACTCCATTATAATTATATATTTCTCTCTTTACAATAATCATGTTTTATACACCCTATCTTGTTAATTTATAGCAAAGAAAAAGAATGTATGTGTACCAAATTCACGAAACTTAGCAGGATTCCTTTTTATTTTATGTACGTTTGTTTATCTTTTAGATTTTTAATTTTTCATCACTTTTTGTAATTCAGAGTAATTCAGAGAAGAAATTAGTGAACTTTTTAACTTTGGTTTCTCATAATATTTTAATTTTCCAACAAAGTTCCCTATTTGTCCCTTGTAATATGAAATTGTTTTATATCAACAAGATACATAATTGAAGAAATTTTATGAATGTTTTAAACATCGGTTAATAAAAATTACCTATGATATTGTAATGTGGACATTGTTTTCTCAAAGTCCTGATTATTCAAGATTTGGTTCCATGTCTTGTTCTTTTTTTAGTTTAATATGTACGTAAGGAATAATCACACAAAACAAAACCATAGCACATTTCTTTTCTTTTTTCTTTATCTTTAGTACCACCTCTCCTCTCTAATAAGTAAGGAATAATTTAAGTCCCAACTTTAAGTTGTACATTAGACATTAGTCTTGTTTTATTATTTGGTATAGAGGTGGTTAAAGTTGATTCATATGGCTTAATTGAGTTTAAAACAAACCAAAGTCAACCGCTGGAGATGACTATTTTCCTCTTATCTGTAAACAAAATATACAGTGGGTTGAATAAATCAAATTACAAATGATTTGCATATATAACATACAGATATTAAGAAAGTTGTGGCATTATTTATTTTTAGGTCCTATAAACAGACGTGCTATAGATATAGCTAGAGTCATCATGACAATTGTTGATGAGGTTAATCTAATTTAAAAATACCCTAGAATATATAGTAATTAGTTGATATTAATAAAACATGTAAAGTAGAAACAAAGGGAAATTGAGTAATCTAACCAAATGTTTAGACAATTTGAACAAACTAACAAACTTTTTTTTGGAAAATAATCACGTACTCTGGAATAGACGTGGGCAAAAAACCGGCTCAGGATCCGAACCGGTGTCTGAACCAAAAACCGGTTCACCACTGAACCGATCCAGCCTCAAACCGAACCGGCGCAATACCAAACCAACAGATCATACCAATCCAAGTTTTCGACCGTCTGGACCGATTTCGGCTGAATCGGTTTTGGATATGGCCATTTTTTGTTTTTTCCTATCGGCTATATAGCCATTTGAGGGTGTGTAAGGCCGATTTTGGCTCCTATTTGTCCATATTAACCATTCCTTATAGTGTATATATATATATATATATATATATATATATATATATATATATATATATATATATATTAGATTTTTAGATCTCAAGTTTAGCTTAACCAAACCTCAAAAAACTTCTCTTTGATCAAAGAAACACTCTCAAGTTAAGTAATGGATTCGGCTTCCGCTGATGTTGGAGATTCATCAAACAATGTTACGGCTGTTAGCATCAAAAAAACAAATAGAAATCCGGCTATTTGGTGCAATTTTGATTTTTTGTGTAATGTCGAGCGGTCCAAGAAAAGCGCGATGCAAAAAATGTGGTGCTTTTTCAATGAAGATGAGAATTCGGTATTGAAACCTCATATGAATAAGAGATGCCCCGCGGTGAAATTTGGGCCGGATCATAATCAAATAACAATGATGAAAGATACTACATTGTGGAATTACGAAGCGGCTAAAGTTTGGGATAGGAAGGCGAAGTTCGTGATTCAAGAATGTTTACCTTTTGACCACTTCGATAACAAACGATTGATTTCACACATCCAAGATACTCTTCGACCGTGATACTGTCATGTGAGTTGTACTTCCCTTAGACGCGATTGTATTGAAATGTGGAAACTTGCAAAAAAATGAAATGATTTTAGGATTTGAAGCTTTAGAAACCGGTGTAAATTTAACTTGTGATGTTTGGAGGGCACCTCACAGTTCACCAGATTCGTTCCTTTGTGTTACCGTTCATTGGATAAATCCAAATAATTGATTCATGATGAAACGTACGATTGTGTTTGAATTGTTTGAGGTGCTGCATACCGGTATAAATTTATTTAAAATGTTAGATTTTGTCATCAAAACTTATAAACTTGAAGAAAATGTTTTTTCTATATCTTTTGATAATTCATCGAACAACATCGTCGCGGTTGGACAACTAAAATTAAAATATAAACCAATTTATGACTGTGTTTTCTTCTGCAGTCGATGTGTTGCATATATCATTAATTTGGTTGTGCAAGATGGACTAACTAGCATTGAACTTATAAAAGATGGTTTCAAACAAATGCTAAAAGATATTTATAGTTCTAGTAATGCTCGATATCATAATTATATGAAGTTTTGTGTCGATGCGAATGCCCATTGTTTAGGTCCGAATTGGGAAATGCCTACCCAATGGAACTCCACTTGCAACATGTTTGAATATGCATTATATCAAAAAGATACTTTAAAAATGTTTGATGACCACCTTGCGGAACGTAATCGAGTTACGACTTATAAGGAATCAAGTTGGGATACTATCAAATTTGTTACAAAAATGCTTGGAGTTTTTAAAAAAGAAACTATTTTTTATCAGGGGTTTATTATCCTACAAGTTGTTTAGTTTTAAACCAAATATTTTTAATGTGAGCAAAAATAAATGAGATGTACAATGTTTGCTAATATGATTATCCGATGAAAGCAAAGTTGAAAAAATATTTTGAAAATATGCCCCCCCCCCCCCCCCCCCGGCGGGGTTATAACTTGTTTCGTCGCTTTGAGTTCGACTCTAAATGTTGGGGGTTGAGACTTTACTTGAAAATATTTGTTACGATTTTGGTTTATTGGATGATGACATAAAGTATGCATCAAGGGAGATTTCAAAATTTAACAAAGTTTGTTTGAAGTTTATTTAACAAAGTATGGTTAAACAAACATTCTTGACATGATGCGAGGTACAGGGGCATCCGGATCCACTTCTCACCAAAATAACGAAACAATTCAGCTCTTTAATACTTTTAGGAATGAAAATTCCAAACAAGCTCGATCTAACACCTCTAGTAGCGAGTTCGGAAGGTACATTGGTTCCGATTTTTTGGTACCAATGAGTGTGCAAGAGTTTGATATTTTGGCTTGATGGAAAGAAAAGGAAACCCAATTTCCGATTCTAGCCGCCATGGCCCGTGATCTATTAAGCGCCCAAGCTTCTACAATAGCTTCGGAATCGGCTTTTTCTGTTAGTGGTAGGGTTATATCACCAAAAAGAACAAAATTCGCCCCTTTGTCGGTGGAAGTATGCATCTGCTTGAAATTCTACCTCGATGGCGTAGAATGGATATAAGACGTTGAACTACTAGAGGGCAAAGCATTTCATGATGAAGAAGTAGCTATGGGATTGTGAGTGTCACTCACCGTACAAGAGCTCGAGTACGAGAGAACATTGCACAATGACATGGCAGATGATGAATAAATCCAAATAATAATAATAAAACAATTTGGATGTTTTGTGTTTATGTTTGAAGATGTATTAGTATGACAGTTTGAATGTTTTGTGTTTTAATGTTTAAAGTTGTATTATATATATATATATATATATATATATATATATATATATATATATATATATATATATATATATATATATATATATATATATATATATATATATATATATATATATATATATATATATATCTGAAAATTGCTCCAAAGAAATGTGTTAATTCTAAGTTTCTCAATTTGTGCATACATACACACAAACATGCCACTGTCCTTTTTTCTAAGTGGGAATGCACTCATTTTGAGTTAATTCAACCAAAAAAAAATACCCCTTCCTTATAATACATTCTTTACAAACACACACACAAAAAAATAAAAAAAAAAATAAAATAATTGGAGACGTGGGTTTTTTTGAAGCCATATGCATCTCAGTTCAATCCCATGGCCATATATGCATCAAATGTGGGATATGCCCACATTTTTTTTTTGTGTGTGTGAAACACCAAAACTAAAGCATATTGACAAAAAAAATAATTAAAAAAAAAAATCCTATATTAGACTCTTTAACCCAAAAGCAAAGCCAAAACACGGGTGGCCCATCGGACCGGTTTGAAGAACCGGTTTATGAAAAAATGAACCGATTTATATAGGTTCGGATGAACCGGTTTTGACTATAGTGATTAGAACCGAACCGGTTTTCTGAACCAGTTCTGTTTGAATAAAAACCGGTTCGTGCAGGTCTACTCTGGAAAAGACCATTTGGCCCAGCCCATTTCGTATTGGGTTCCAGGCTTAACAGTCAGTACATAAGCCATTTGGGAATGTATGTCAAAAAATCTTGGCTCTGTTAGATATGTGTCTGACCGAGTCAGGTCAGACATTTTTGGCTGACTCAGTCAGCTGAAGCTGTTCGATAAACAAAATTTAGGTGTCTAACTCGATCAGTGGAAAAGAGGATGATGGGAGTCGAACCCATCACCTCACACTCATAAACCATCATATTTACCATTAAATTAGAAGTTTTTTTTGTTATAGTTGCTCAAACATTTTATATATTTTATATATTATTATTATTATTATTATTATTATTATTATTATTATTATTTCATAGAAATGTATAGAGCATCAAGATCAAATGGTTATATTGCATCAATTAGCACATTCAGTCAGATGTACAATCAAACAACATGGTTTCTTACTCAGTCAGAATTTCTTACTCGGACATATATTTCTCAATCAGCACTTTCTCAGTCAACAACTATCAAACGGGACCGGAGTTTTATAAGTTTGTTCTTCACTCATTTACTTGTATTTGTTAAATTTTTAATTATAACTTTAAAACTATAATTCTGGAACACATAGAACTTGTCTAGAACAAGCAAAACAATTCCGGAATGTGTAAATAATTGATAGCATGTGCCTTAGGTAGAAAGTTATTCAGTCTTGCTAAGGACGCATAAGATTAGAACAATAAATTTGCCTTAAGGTAAATCCAAAATAAATTTGCCTTAATGTGTAAATAATGGTTAACAATAACATTTGCCTTAAATAAATCCAAAATAAATGTATTCCATAACACGGAAAATAAGTTTGGAATGTTTAGAACAGTGTGTAACTAGTTTGAAACTAACTTTTTTTTTTTGTTTTTCAGCATGACCGCATTTTTTATTCTTATCTTACAATGTGGTGCAAACTTGTCATTGTTGTGGATATTCTTGTTAAAACCAAAATCTAACCGTCACGCAAGGCTATATTCCAACAAACATGTTTTGGTAAGTGGTTAGATATTCATGTTATGATAGAAAGTGATGCTTTGCTTTTACATTACATATTCTACAAAAGAAGTAGTCACAAAGCCTCGAGGAATTGGTTTTTGAGATCAGAGAGTATGAGTTGACCTTTGGAAAGAGGGAATTATGTCTTGTCACTGGCTTCCAGTTTGTTGATTTTTTACGGCTTCAGATTTTAATAAGCCTTCCGATTACATGTGTTTCCCACAGTCAAGACGAATTAGTTGGAACATGTTATAATTTATAAATGTATTTGAAAAATCTCATAGTGTATTTCTTTGCTCTTATACCATATCAAATTTAAGTAAGAATTTCACTCATTGATTATTGATTAAAACGAGTGTATACATGGAAAAATTATATAGAAAACAGAAGGTGAGGGACGATAATGCATGAATCTCAACATCTAACTGAACAAAAATAAAGTTAATAGTATAGCCATATTATTATGATGATATTGAAGTATGGAAACTCCATGGGTTCTACAATTAACAATTGGCCCAAAAACTTGTTCTCCCTTCAACGATTTTGACAACATTGTATATTACATAACATAGGGATGCTGAATTAAATCCAAAATATTAAATACTTTAAACATCATATAAATAAGAGGCATATATTGTGCAAGCAACAAGTTTAAACGTATCAAAATTGTATCACAAAAATGCTGGCATCTAGGAAAGTGAAGAGAAAAAACTTACTTGTTTGCTTTGATAAACTCCCTATATTCTTTCTTCATTTTGACCCCGGATACACTCCTGCATAATAATATATCATAATATCTCAATTCCATTGTTAGAGTGAAAAGAGTTTCTAAAATAGGAAATTAAGAAGGAAAAGAATTAAAAGATTTAGTAACCTACCTGATCATTTCTTTATGCTTGAAGAACTGGACACATGGCGTACCCATGATGTTTGCTGCTTCAGCAACTTCCTGATCTTCTTCTATATCAATCTCAACATAATGGACATTCTCCTCAAATTCATCTATCACCTGTTTCATTTTCATTCATCAACCAATTATTAATGGAATTTAGCCAAAGTTTCTTTCTTAATTTCAAGTTAAAAAGATGAAATAACATTAATTTGAATGAATGAATGACCTTGCTGAGGATTGGCTTCAATGTCCTACATGGACCACATGAGGGTGCTGTGTATAACACACAAATCAACCTCGGACTTTCATGGTACAATTTACGCACTGCATACTGTTATTTAAAAAAATAATAAGAAGAAAAAATATCTTGTCAAAAAATAAGGGTATAAATGTCAAATACCTGTCCCTTGTGCTTTGTAAGTGTAATGTCAAATCCTTCTTTTTCATCACTTGTTGTGAGCTCTTGTTCACCTTCTTCACCATGGTGCTGTGAGTAAATTGCAAGCTTATGTCGCATTTTATGCATATATATAATAGGAATGTGAAGAAAAAAAAAAAAAAAAATACCTGATGAAATTCAACAAGAAGATTATTGCTGACAAGATATCTCTCCACTGACAAAGCAGCAATGCACCCTGATCCAGCTGCAGTTATGGCTTGCCTCCATTCATGATCCTATATGTATAAAAAAAATATTGGATATAAATCATCATATAATATAAAAAATAAAATATAAGGTTGAATTGGTCTTTAGTAAATTCAATTTACCTGAACATCTCCTGCAACAAACACTCCTTCAGTTGAAGTCTTTGCAGTGCCTTCTTCAACCAAAATATATCCAGTATCATCAAGTTTGACTTGACCTTCCAGCAATTGACTATTTGGAGAATGACCAATTCCATAAAACAATCCTTTGACCTCTAATACTGATTCCTCTCCTGTATCAAGTCTTTTGGTCAAAACACCAGACATCTGCCCTTTACTATTGCTCACAACATCAACTGTCTCTGTGTTGAAATGCACCGTGATATTTGGATTATCAAAAACTCTGAAACATTCGCCATAATCAACCTGTTATACAAAGAAGAAAGAATCCCAGTCTTTTAACTACTTCCATGAAGACATGGATATGATATGATCATATATTTTCTAACCTGTCCTGCATAGCTCGTGATGCCTTTAACTGATCCCTGCGTACAAGTAAATGTACATGTCTTGCATATTTAGTCAAATAGATTGCTTCCTCGGTTGCTGTATCACCTCCTCCAACAACAGCAAGAACTTGACCCTTAAAAATTGGTGAAGCTCCATCACAGATTGCACAGGCACTGATTCCCCTACTCCAGAACTCATCTTCACGAGGTAATTTAAGCCTTTTGGCAGTCGCCCCTGTGGCCACTATGATACTGTTACACTTTACTATGCGATCACTACTTTGTACAGTGAAAGGACTGGTGTTCACATCAACAAATTCAACATCTTCTTGAAAAAGCTCTGCTCCCCAACGCTCGGCTTGACTTCGCATCCTATCCATCAGGTCTGGACCAGTGATACCTTCTGGAAACCCTGGAAAGTTCTCGACTTCTGTGGTGGTCATCAATTGTCCACCTGGAACACCGCCTACTTGATATCCCTCAAACACTACAGGCTTCAAATTGGCACGACCTGCGTAGATTGCTGCTGTGTAACCAGCAGGTCCTGAACCTATAATCACCAAATTTTCAACACCTGAAAGCATTCCATGGAATACTGGTTAGACGCTCAAAGTTTCCTTCAGATCAATGCAAAGCACATCCTCTTTCTACTTCGATTTGTTTGGTTTTGAGGTTTAAACATACACATGGATACATACGTAAATGATTTTAAAAATAATAAGTAGAAACCTGGAGAAGTAGGTTGATCAGCAGAGTAAGCCTTAACGGTTACTGATAACGACGGTGGCTGAGAACGGTGGTAATTTGGGAACCGGCCACCGATGGCAGCGACCGAATCATACCGAAGAGAGCTAGCGCGTTGGCTGTTCAATCCGAAAAAGATTCCGTTAGCGATTGTTGAGGGACTGGACCTAGTAGAGGTCGGTCGGCTACCGAGACTATTTTTTCCGACGTCAATGCCGATTCCGATTCCGATTCCGACGCTGTTGGCCACCTGCGCAGTTGTAGCCATCAGGTTCGAATCGGACGATACCCCAACTAACCCAAATGTCAATTGACGGACACCTGAACGTTTTGACAAGCCATAACGGAAATATGTTGGGTTTGGGACAAACGGACAAAGAACAATGTTAACAAAGCTTTGGAATTTTGATAGTTTGTTAATTAGGAATATTGGGCTAAGGTTGAAATTAGGCAATGAATTATTGAATTTGTGTTTATTTACATATTAAACTCATTTAAGTTATAAATACTCATTGAATTTATTAATTTTTATTCAAAATGGTCAATATATTATCATCGGTCATAAAGACTAGTTGAATCAATAACAAAATATTACTAATATTTTACAACTTAAAAAATTTAGTTATTATATGAAGATAAATTTTCTATTTAGTGTCTAGTATCAACGTTAACTCTCTTATTTTTTGTTTGTATTGTTTTAGAGTTTTTTATACATTGCAAATCACATTGTAAAGAAGCAGGCATGTATATTTAACAATGATAAACATAAGTACACAATATATTAACAATTTAATTGTTGAGATGTGAAATTAAGGTTTAAAAATGTGCGGCAGTGTGAATAATGAATTATTTTGTGTAGGTTGGCTATGGCATAATTGATGATGAATCATTAATACTAATTTTAGAATTATGGTTTGTCACAAGTCAGACTTCCATTTCAATTAGACGGTTAAAAAGCAAAACAAATCTATAATTTTTTAGGTTCAATTAAGTAATTAACTAAATGGGATAGCAGTAAGAAGTGATCTTCTCATACGAGAGGTCATGAATTTAAATAGGGATGAGCATAGTCGGGTACCCGCCTCATTTGGCGAGAACCAGAACCGGCAGTTTCGAGAAAGTTAGAACCGGAATCGGAACCGCTCTAGGTAGTTCTTAAATTTTTGGAACCGGTCCTGGAACCGGCGGTTCCGATTCCGGGAGTGGGTAACCCGGTTACATTAATTTTGTTAATTTTTGTCGATAAAACCACAACTTAGTTCGATCCAAATCGTATCAATTCGGATCAAAGAGGGACAGAATCGAACCAATATATTGTAAACCGGTCTAAGTAACACACATATTTATATGAAACCGATTTCGGCGGGTACCCAGCAGGTAGCGGTTCCGAAAAAATAAGAATTGGAACCGGAACCGCCTTAAGCGATTCCATAACTTTAGGAACCGGAACCGCTTAAGGCAGTTCCAGTTCCAGAAAACGGCAGTTCCGAGGCGGTTCCGATTCCAAAAAAGGGTACCGGGTTCCGATGCTCATTCCTAGGTTCAAGTCTCGGTGGAAACATATGTGCTTATTTAGAAGTAAATTAAATATCTTCCTACATTTTAAATATCTTCCTACATTTTATTTTTACTTTTCTTTCTATCTATTTAAGATGATGATAATTGTATAAATTTAACATATCAATCAATTTTAAATTAAATTAAATGACACTTGTCACTAAGGATGTTATTTGGGCCAGAACCGAACTGAACCAACCCGAATTTGAATAAACCGAGAACCGAATAAGGGTAATTGTATGAACTGAAAACCGAACCAAATAAGCAATACGGGTTCGGTTCGGTTCGATTCCGATCCGAATAACCCAAATAAACATGTACAAGATGATTAAGGATCTATTATAACCGAAAAGAATCGAATAAACCGTATTATAATTGTATAATCTGAATAACCCGAAGAACCCAAATAATATTTACAATGCGATTATAAATATTTTATTTTGTATGACTTTTGTAGCTTATGATTTCATAACAAATCTTTTAAATAAACAAATTTGTTAATTAAAAATAATACAAAGTATATATAATTGTTTCAAAGGTGCAAAAGGAGTTAGAATTTGTGTTTGTACACATCACATATTTCTCCAAAAAACGATGTGGCATCGGTTTTATTGACGTCGATACTATGTCGGTTTTCACCTTGAATTTCTCGAGAAATCCAACCATAGCTCTACAAATATTAAAATCTTCTTTTGCGGGAGTCAAACCATCTCGTACGATCTATTATAATAAAGTAAATGTTACTATTTAAAAAAAAAACAGATTGAATACCCTTTATTTAGGAGTTTGTATCTCATTTAATATACAACCAAATAATGCATTTAAATAGTATAAAACGTAGTTTAAATTGTAAACTACAAGATAGAAAAAAAATCGGTCTATTGGACAAATACGAAGACGTTATGACACTTCAAAGTTGGCTAAAAATTTGCTAACATGCTGAAACAGAAAAACCTAGCTTTAATACCCCATGTTTAGATACCTGTATCTCACTGAATATACAACCAAATAACGTGTTTAAATAGTGTAAATTGTAGTTTAAATTGTGAACTATAAGCATGAAAAAAATCAGGCTAATCAGACAAATAACGAAGACATTATAACACTTCATAGTTGGCTAAAAATTTGTAAAGATGCTGAAACAAAATAAAAATTGTGACTTTTCAAATTTGGTCATTTTGGCCCGAATAAGCCCTTATTCTGGTAATCCGAACCGAATAACCCGAAAACCAAATAATTTTCATATAGATACCCAAAAACCGAATCGAATTGTTTATTCGGGCCTAATTTGGTTCAGTTCAGTTCGGATTTTCGGGTCAAATGCACATCCCTACTTATCACCATCTAAAATAGATAGAAAGATAGTATACACAAAAAGTAAAGGGTTATTTAATTTATCTTCGATGATATATTGTTTAAACTTATCTTATTTTGAACGTACTTTCTTAGCAATATATTGTATTTATTTATGAGAAATTAAATATTCTTCTAAAATTTCTTCGTACCATTATTCTATCCATGTCAAATAATGATATTTGTCATATTTAATTTTTCTTAATAATGTTTTAATCCAATTGTTACCATCTAACATTGGTAGAAAGATAAACAGAAGAAAATTATAGAAGAACTCTAATTATTGATGTATATTTGATCGTATATCCTTCCCAAAAAATATCCGGATCTCGTTGTATATATCTTGGCATTGTTGGATGAAAGAAATCCAGAGGAATTAATCAACCTTTAGAATATATCTTCCGCGTTTTTTCTTTTTAAAAAAACAAACAAAAAAAAAAAAAAAAATCAAAGAAGTAAAACCTTTTGGAGCAATAGTGTTGTGAACGTTTAGCTTTGACGTTGACAAGGGGTGGTTCCTGATTGGGTAGGGTCTCGACATGGAACCAAAGTTCGAAACTATTACTTAATTTTCTCTATTTTTGTTAAAAAGAAAAAAAGACAAGTTTGTATAGTTGTTATAGTTATGAAGCTACTATGTTTATTACCTTTTGAAAAAAAAAAAAAAAATCAAATCAAAATTAAAAATAAAAAATAAAAAATAAAATTTTCATTTAAGTTTTGTTTGTAAGTTTTATAATAATTTTTTATTTGATAAAACTATAAAAGTAATTTATTTTAGTTTGTGAACTAACTAATAAGTTAGTTTTTGATAAATTATTTTGAGATAGTTTTTGATAACATTAAAAACCTTTTTACAAAAATATTTTAAATATGTCTTTAATTATATTTAGTATTCTTTTAGTTATATATCTAAATTTTTTAGTTATATATCTAAATATTTTTCAGCTAGTCTCACAAATAGTTCACAAATAGGAAGAGTCTTGCAATAAGTGCAATATCCTAAAAGAGTATTGAAAACTTCTAAAACTTAAGATCAAAATTATATATATTCAACAATGTAATTTTCAACAATAAACACTTTGTATACATGTAATTAGATTCTAGACCTTGCTTGTACACAAATTGTGGGCCTTGGCAGTAAGACTCATAGCTATATTATTTACCAATTACCATCATAGAAGAGAAGACTTCTGGTTACCATCTTTTTAAATTATAATAAATATACAAATCGTATATATTCAACAAAGTGACAAAAAACCGACATTAAAATAATGCATATGTCCATATTTCAATTATTTAAGTGTAGCATTAATGCATTATAGCAAATAATCAACTTTGTATGCCAACATCCTCAATCATAAGTATACGAATAAATATCATCTTTAAGCGTCATTATCAATCGGTCCATGACTAATAGTTTTAAAACAAAACAGTTCCTTAATCATAACTAGATAAAAATGCTAGGAAAAATATCAAATCATAATACACAATCCACCCAAAATAAATAAATAAATAAATAGTTATTTGTCGTGTTTCATCATATATCCAAATTAAATTTTCTGTTTTGTGTTTCTAATAAATTCTCAATATATATAAAAATGATTTTCCATTAATTGTTTATAAGATATTCAACATCTATCACATTTGTAAATTAAGATGACATCATTAATCCTTTGACACCTTAATCTAATCACTAACTTCTAGTTCGAGAACATCGTTTGCTTATTATTGAATCTTGCAATGTCAATTTATTTATTGTCAATATAATTAATAAGTTGTTTAAAAAAATCTATGATAAGTTATCAAGATTTTTTGATGGAATTCTACTCACCCACCGACGATGCATCACGAGACCTGTACCCTTAGCACACGTATTTGTACAATTTTACCTCTCTATTATTATTCATTTATCATTTATTATTCACAGTCAAACGGTAAACCGAAAGGACCCGAAAGGCCAAAAGGCCCAAAACCCATACAGAAATTAATCTTCAAATATTTTTTATATAATCACCCACGTGAAAACACATATTAACCTTCACACCCTGCTATTTTCACTTTTTCTTTAATAAGCTCTCTTTTTTCCCCTTTCTCCAAAACCGATACAAAAAATAAAATAAAACAGAAAATAAAAAGTAGTAATTTTATTATATATTCAAATATAACAACTTTTAAATTAATGTATTCAATACATGTAAAATATCAAGTTTTATTTTCCAAAAATAATGATAAATCTCTAAAGATCAATTCTAAATTGAGATTATATTTCGGATTTTAAACAAGTTATGATAAATATCATCAACTCATAAGTCATTGAATCATAGTCTTAATATTTCATAAATAAAGTGCATATATATATATATATATATATATATATATATATATATATATATATATATATATATTATATATATATATATATATATATATATATATATATCCAAAGTAGGAAATTTTCCATTATGGTGTTGCATAACTAATGGCCATCTCTAGAACCCCAAATGCACCGGCTCGCCATTACCCTTAAGGTCACTACAAGCCATGTTAAATCTCTTGGTTGCATAGAAATTGAATTTGTTGAGTCTACGACTTAGTGAGTTCATGTTTGATTATGCATAATGATTTTTGTCGTATGTATAATACAAGTTAGACATACGTTTTCATATAAACCAAGTGGTACAAAACTATATTGGCGTAACTATAAAAGAGTTGGCATTCGTTTCACGTCCTAACTCTACTTATTTTAATTTTGTATAGTGTTGTGCCAGCACATTTTATTTAAATGGAATGAAGATGTTATCCGACCTTGTTTTAAAACAATGTGAGTGGATGTACCCATACCTCGTGCGAATCAAGTAGTCATTGACAATCAATGTCTCGAAAGAGTGTTCAACTTCCCTCGATGATGGCTAAAGCTTATAATGATTGCATCTCAACAAACATTTGGCTCACTAATGGACATGTATAGAGAGCCAACAATTTTACCTCTTATATGGGTTTGGTGGGTTGTCCTAAGGTGGTGGACTGGATGAGGATATGGTGCCAAGATGTTAAGATGTAACTGGGAGACAAAGACTTTATTCAAGTTTTCTAGTAGATTTTTCTCACATTTTTTTAGTTTTTTATTATTTTATTGGCTTATGTTTTTACTACTATTGTTTGATATATTTAATTTTTTATGGATCTTATCTTAATCAATTTCGTATCACACTGTTATAGAAAGAAGCTTGTTTTCTTTTCCTTTAAAAATTTCCCATACAATTTGCTTTTAGAGGGTATTGAATTTTATTATAGAATATTCACATTGAACTTTTGTTTTTACTTTGTGTGCTTTATAATTGTGCTTGGCCATTCAATCGGATCGTTAGCACGTCACAAATGAAACTAAAATCATATTAGTTGCTATATATTTTAGATATAGGAGTTGTTATTAAGCATAAAATCTCAACTTTTCCTTGTCACATTCATTGTTTTATTTTTATTATAAAAAAAAGTGATATATAATGATAACAAAAAAGTTGTGTAACAACTATTCACATGTTTTTACATAAAAGTACTAAATAAACTTTAATGTGCATTGCATCTTTTGCCCGCTCTCAACACATTGTCAATAACTCCCCGTGCAACAGTTGGACCTACGACCCGTTGTTTAATGGAAATTGAATTTTAGTATTTTACCTTGTACTAAATTTGGTAAGTTGACACTTACTATCCTTTGTCGGTATTTCATGCCAAAATGAGAAAAGAATCATGAAGATAACACAAACTCTATTCCACAGAAACCAACACATTCAAATCACATAAAGACACACGGAGGGGATCAGAAAGAACTACCCAATTCTACAAAACAGAGGAGTATCGGAATCTAGAGAAAATGGTATTGACCGGAAAAATCAAGAAGAAAAATGACGGCGGCGGCGTCGGTGGTGGTGGTGGTGGTGGTGAGGGATGGGGAATGGATATATTCCTGGTTTTCTTCCCTGAAGAACATCAACAAGATTTAAGCTCCTCCACACCTTCATCGTCATTATCACCATTCAGATTTCCCACAGTTAACACCCTTTTCAAACGCATGAATTCCAGTCAAATTCTCAGAAGAGCTCAATCCACCATCTCCATTTGTGCTCTGCTCATCTTCTTGATGCTCCTCCTCTTCACTCTCTCAACTTTCGAACCCAACAACAACTTCATATCATCTCGTCTTCCCAACTCTCACACTACACTCCGATCAAATTCGCGTGCATTACAAGGATTGGGCACTCTGTATACACGCGGAACAATCGCCATGAACAACCTCCTACTCTGCCACGTTACAGAGTCTGTGACAACGAAAGATCTTAAATTGTTCTTGAGAGCATTTCACAGGTCTGGTTTAGCTTCAAATTCCGACCTTGTATTTATATTCCCATCGATTTCAACACCACAGTCTTTTGACAATGTGATTCTGGAAGAGAACGACTTCTTCCTGAAAATCATCGGAAGGTACAAAGCAGAAATGTGCAAAGGAAGTAAAGTTTTGGATTTTCCGGCGAGCTTCGACCTGACTCAGTTCGTGAAATCCGGCAAGAAGGTAAGGGAGAAAGGAGAGCCAATCTGGGGTGGAAAAGTGAAGACGAATAATTCAAGTTTACATGATTGTGGTGAAACTGATCATATCGAGTCAACTCGGATAAGTTATGGATCGGTTGTAGGCTTTGGTGTCGGCGAGCTTGATCCGGAAAACTCGTTATCCGGGTTCGTAGACCACGTTCCGATGAGTCTCCGAAGATGGGCGTCTTATCCAATGATATTGGGGCGGGTTCGCCGGAGTTATAAGCACGTGATGCTGGTTGACGTAAAGAAAGCTTTACTACTCGGAGACCCGCTCAGCCGAGTCAAAAATCAGAGTCCCGAGTCAGTCTTCTTGCAATCAACACCGCCACCATTACCACCTCTTTCAGCCAGACACCGCCCTAAGAACTCAGAGAATACCCATCAAAAAACAAATACAATCAACACCGCCGTCATAATGGGTGGAGTTCGTGGAGTCCGACGGTTGTCCGCCGCAATGCTGACGGAGATTGTCAGAGCTACCACAAACAAGCCACACAATAAAAGAAAGAACTCAGTCACCGAGTCAGGTATGCTCAGTCGTCTCGCCATGAACGAGTTTATCCTCAAGACAATTCGTCTGGTGACGTCATCCGAGTCAATACGGGAAGCTAGGTCACTCACTGAGTCGGCAATGACAAATCGGACGATTTTATGGCGTGAAAATAACGACACGGATATAATTGAGTCAGTTATTATGAAGCACATTTGTTCATTTCCCATAGATTCCACTGTCTACACGGATTGTTGACTATTTTGGTGAATAGAGACTATATGAAAAGGTACAAATTATTTTTTTTCTAACATTTAGCATATAAATATACATTAAAAATGTTATATATTAATATAATATGTAATATATATAATAAGAGAAATCTTATTCTTGGCCCGTGAAATAATGATTTTGCCAGCAAAACATTAACGTCCTCTTGCATTGATTGGCTGGTTGCTCGTTGGTGCATGCTTTGTTACGCCTCCTGTAAATCACTAAATTGTAATACTCCTCCATTTTCACAAATTTGATAGAATATTACCATTTAATATTATTTTACTCTTTATCATATTCACATCCATTTATAAGATTGTTAAATATTCATCATAAATGTAAAAAGTAATTTTAACAAAATCGTGTGTCAAAAAGGTAAAATTGTTATTTCCGACTTTGTATTTTGGAGTAAGTTTGTATAAGTTTAGTGTTATTCTATTGAAAGTTGTATATGGTTTTAAAATTCATTTATATATAAATGATCTTAGTAAGATGAATAAATATTTATTTTAAATAATAAACATAGAACAAAATGTGCATTGACATATAACTAAATAAAGGGGCTAATATCATAAATTACTAAAAGATTATTTTTCTAGTAAAGACAAATGTTGTAAAATTCATTTATATAATACCTTAAATTTTAAATCAAAATTTCATTTTTAAATTACCGAAAATATTGTTCATAAACCAAGTCATTGAAAAACATAAGTGTCAAATACAAATCATCATCACAAAATATCAGAGTATCACAGAATGCATCAGTAACAAATCTTCCAATGAGTGTGTACAATCAGACAGTTGCCTTTCTGCGATCCTCAGAAGTACCTGAAACACATATAATCAATAACTGTAAGCACGAAGTTTAGTGAGTTCCCCAATATACCACATACAACACATCATAATTAATCAGTTATGGATTATCAGCAACCCTGTGAACTATCAGTAGTCCCAGTGGGCAAACTGCACGTTCGATAGGTTATCAGCAACCCTGGAGACTATATGCAGTCTCAGTCACACATAAACAGCATAACACAATAATAACAGTTAGATCCAGTTGATCATCACAAATATAACTATTCTACCACATAGGTAAGATTAAATGAGGAGACTCACCTGATATTGATGATAGATTAATCCTACACCCGAACTGTCAGAACTAGACTTCGTATAATAACACAACAATTAACCCTAATTAATAATTAAGGTCCTCAACCCAACTTACAAGTCCAAATTCCACAACTAATCCCTTTAAGGGGAAAAAAAAAGACCATTTTCCCCGTCAATTGTCCAAACCTTAAATTTTGACCATAAGTCAAAAGTCAGCAAAATTCAACTATCCAGCGAGTACGGTGGGCGTAATCCTTCTTACGTGGGGCATATAACTGAAATCAGTGACCAACGGGAACGGGCCTGACTACGCAGGGAGTAGCCAGGAGTACGCCCCACGTACTCTGCCTGGTCCATACTTAACAAGTTTTATGTCTTAATCCATTAAGATACCTATCCCAACTTTATATCTGACCATTATAGAATGCCTTAACCCATAAAGTCACTGACTTTAATCCTTTGCATGGCTAGAAAGGGATCAATACATAAAACTCTAACTTCCATCACACTCTAAGTCACTTAACTCATGCATAGGCCAAGGGAAATGATCAAGCAACCATTTTTATGACTTTAAGTACCTTAACATGTCTAAAAGGATAGCCAATATGCTCTGGGGTACTTCATACTCACAAAGGTCCAAGTTTTGGGACAAAAGTTCATAAAAACTCATCTATGGAGATCTAGAAAGAACCACATCAAGGTATAAACTTTATACCTTCAAAAGATGCACAAAGTGAGGTAGTTTCTTGATCTACAAGCTTGCAAACAACACCACCTTATTCAATAGCCGTCTTCTTCAACAAAAAAACACCAAAATCACTAACAAACTTCAAAATCCTCACACACAAGGATTAGGCTCGAGATTAGGGTTTTGAAAGGAGAGGAACCCGATAAGGAATGTCCAAGGGAGGTATAAGGTGGATTAAATAGGGAGCAAACCCTTAAAATTAGGGTTTAGAGGCTAAGCTAGTACGCCCCACGTACGCCCAACGTACTAACATGGCTTTTGTGATCCAGGTCTCTCACAAGTACATTGCGCGTACCTCATGTACGTCCAACGTAGGGGCTGAAGTGCAAATCTTTTAGAAACAAGGGACCAATAGTGCAAACTTAAAATAGGTCAAGGGCTAAAATGAAAATACCTGAAATCGGATGTTACAGGTAAACTGTTAAAAATATCATTATTTAAATCAAATAAACTCCACAAAGCTAGAAAAAAATAAACTTAATAAAGTGAATGAATTTAAATAACTTTTATTATTAATGTACATATATGATTGTGGGTGAATGGAATATATATGTAAAGTTATTTAACTTGATTCCGAAATAAATGATATGAATGAGTAGAAGCACGTGGAACAACTTTCTTTTCTTGTTGGGGTTGTGCTTCTGCTTCCGCTTCTGCATTAAGTTTAATTTTAGCCTTTCTCGTGCTTCTATGAAGCTGCCTCTTTCTCGCTTTTACGTGTACATTTTTTGAACTACAATTTAATATTAGAGAAACTAAATTTTTATCGCTAAATCTTATAAAATGAACATTAGCTATATTTTTTTCCAATAATAAGCAAAGTGGTAATATGTTGTTGCAGACATAAATTTACGAATGAAGTAAAGAGATATAAACAATTTCTTTTAACAAATAACAAACCAAATATTTGGCACCATTCCCACAAACAAGACATAGTTTTTATAAATATATATAGTATCATATGTGAACTAAACACCGAAGACGATATGTATTAAATTATAATATGTATCACTTACTATAATGAAATAAAATGAGTTGATTTGGAGATTAGAATTTTATGGTGTACACCTTATTTGCGTTTTGTGGTTTTTATTGTTTCATCTATCTAAAAAAAATACAATTATTCAAATTCTAAATTGTTTTAGAAAATTGGAAAGGTTTAAGAGTCCACTATAGAGAAGTTTCCTACGTGGTCCACTACAAAGGAATAGTCAAAAGAGTGCATGCGTAAATCGTAATACCACAAAAGAAACTGTTCCCATTTTCTTTTTTTTATCATCAAGCGTAGAAAAATAAAACTGTTACACAATAATAAAAACTTTAATTATAGTCAAAAGGTTTTAAAAAATTCCTTTAATTTTATACATTTTGATTTGCCATTTTGTTCCTTTGTAAGTTAAAGTTTTCATCATGTTGCTGATTTGATGAAAATTTCGGATTTAGTCATTTCATGGAATTTGAATGTTTTCCTGTCTCTTGAAGTGTTTTTTTTTAACACCTACTATTTAAAAAATACGTTAATTTTTTTTGTAAAAATGACGGTTTTACCATCTATTTTTAATTTTAAAAGCTTGGGCTTTGTATAGTGGTGAAGGGGCCATGGCCCATGGGTGGGATGCGACTTACCTAATGATTAATGAATTCAAAGTTATCAAAATTTAACTTTTATGCAATGTAATACCTTTCTCATTGTCGATTTTATTTACAGGTTTTTGTGCCTTTTGGTTTTTCCCACAAAGGTTTCCATCCATATTCTCTGTGTTTTGGTTTATGATTTCATGCTTGTAGTGATCGTCATGATTAATTATATAACAACTTAACATTCCTTATAATGCAATTTTACATAAAACACATCAAGATTGATGAGATAAAAACATATGGTCTCAAATCATATGAAAATATGAGTTAGGTTTTATGTGATAGTAATGGATGTGACTTGTGAGGTTTTGTTTTTGCATATGTTATGAAGTAATGGGTCGGTGGTACTTTAGACACCAACATGATGTTCTCCTAGGTGGGTTAGACAACGACAGTTTTATTCTAAAATTTCAACAAACAATATTCATCGGTTTCAACAGTGGAAAAAATAATAATAAATAGGTACATGGTAGATGTCATAATAAATGTCCATATTAAATGTTAACCCATTATTATGTTTGCCAAGTCTAAAAAACAGATTCATGTGTAAATCCTGTTATTAAATTGTGTCAAAATGCCAAAAGTACACAGGACAAATAGAAAGGACATACATGATATGATAAATATCAAACAACAAACTTTTTTAACCCTTAATATCTGAATTCAAAATACAAACAATCACAGCACATGACATGACAACACATTTACAGTCTTACTTTTTCTCCAACAATAAATATTAAATAGCAAGTAATCCCACAAACAAACTCAAACCCAGATTACATTACATACCCAATCAAATCTAACAACCAGCAATCAAACCATATATCATAACATCAAAAGAGAGGCAAAAAAATCACTCTTTACTCAAGGCCATTATATCACTAACTCCTCCTATAACCACCAGCATCATAACTGATAACTGATAACAACACCAACACAACCAAAAACTAAGAATTGAAAGAATCATATCATATTCATCATCTCCCCACCAATGTTTTCAATTCCTAGAACAAATCCACCTTCTTCTTCAGCATATCCTGCTTCCATTTTGGTATCTTGTAGAACGCCTCTTTTGCCATTCCAAACACACCCTCAAACTCTTCACCTGACAGATAAGCCTAAACCAAACAACCAATAACCAACCAATAATGTTACTTATTCCCGTAACAGACTTTACAGTTGTGTGAAATTACAAAACTAACCTCTCTTCTCTTAAAGTCGATACCAGTCACCGGGTTCTCGGATTTAGCCCTCAATTGTTCATAACTGAAAGTGCTTTGACTGTCTACACTCTCGCATTCGTTTTCATCATTCTTTGGTGCTGAATCTTCTCCTCCATTGGTTTCTTGAACTTGAACTGGTTCGGATGTTTCCATTGTAACTTCTGAACCTTCATTACTCTCCAAACCATCAGAACCTTCTTCAGCCTTGGTGGCTGAGCCGCCTTCAGATGGTGGACTTCTGGTGGGCCGGACAGGTGAACCATCAGATGCACCCTTCTTTTCAGCTGTAAGAACAGAGGATAAAGCAGCAACAGCAGCTGCTCTCTGTGAACCCCGACTCGGTACCTTTGGTGAAGCTGATGATGATTTGGCGCTTGTTGGAGATGATTTGAAAGCAGAGTTTAATGCTGCTAATGCTGAAGCTCTTTGAGTGGGCCCACTTTGACCCCCGTTTGACCTATCTTGACCCTGTGATAGATAAAATATCAAAAACAATACCTTAAACAAAACCATAAACAACAACTAGGATGAGTTTGAT